ATAGACTTTTTTCTGTACAGCAATGCCTCTACCTATACCCACGTGGAAAAAAATATAAGGGGTAAAAAATAAAAATCTCGTGTATTCCTGTTTTTTGCTTCGTTTTTTATAATATAATATATGTCAAAAAAATTATTCTTTTGAATTATTATGAATATTTTGACTTTAAAAGGCGATAGTTCGATTAGCAATACAACAATTATAAACAACCTTTTTTGTAGATGTATATGTAAAACTTCATACAGTGTAGGTAAAAGTTTATGGTCGGTATGGTAAAATTTAACAGGATATCTAACACAGATTTAAAATCATATTTTTAGCGAATAAACTAGCGAATACCATATTTCCCCTTGGTCTCCCCTCCATATTTCTCATTGACAACTATTGCGCATTAGTGAGACGATTAGTTCCGATCAGAGATACTTTACATATCTCTGGTTCCGATCCTAATATAGCCAAAAAAACTACAGATGGGTGGTTGCATTTTTATCGGAACCGTTTTTCGTTAACTGTAACTATCTGATTGTTTACCAGTAGTTTCAAATAAGCGAGTACACAAACAAACCTACTGGCTATTATCGTTTATGTGTATAAGTATTGAAGTAAAAGAAACTAACGAAGGATATATTTATTATAACTTAAAAAATAAATTAAACAATACAAATAGTACTTACATTTACATTACACATTATTAAATCGCGAATCGTCTAAATTGACATTTAAAGACAAAAGTTTTTCCACTTTTCTTGTTAACCGTGTTCTTCTTTTATTTAAAATTAAACCAGATTTTGAACATGTGTTCACAAGGAACAGATTTTGTTACAATACTACAATATTTTGTGAATATAGTGGTTAAGTTAGGATATAAATGGCGATGGTTTTTCCACCACTGTAATGGACAGTTCCAATTTCTGTTCGAAATTTTTTTTGGGTAATATATCATCAGATAAGTACATGTCGACTTCTTTTATATCTCTCAATATAGGTGTATGTTTAGATGAGTCATGTCTAATTAATTCATCAAAAATACACCGTGGACTTAAGTCATCTTTATCAGTTTCTTTTTCTTGTACTGGTTGATTTTCACTGGTACAATATTTTTTTCTTTTTTTATAGAAGTAACCAGCTTCTTAACTCTTTCTTTTGTTTTTTATAACTAGGTATTCTGATTAATGAGTAAGTTTCGATTTACGATTGATCTGCATTTTCTATTTTAAATCTTTATTGATAGTTTGTCAGAGGATTTATTTATTGTAAATATTCAATTAAGAATTCTTTTTCTGAGTCAAAATTATTGACATAGTAAAAGAATAATAATTTTATTTTCAAAAAATGCACATTTGCAGAAGATGCAGCTTTCATGGTCCACTTTCTAAATATTGCAATGATTGAAACTTTTCCTGACGTATTTCTGTCCGTTTCGACTACTTCTACTACAAGTACTGATATACTGCCACCGCCACCCAAGCGTCAAAAGGTGATGGATATTTCCATTAATAAAAATATTAGTTTAAAACAAAAGAAACATATATATATATATATATATATATATATATATATATATATATATATATATATATATATATAGATTTACTAAACCTATGCAAAGACTCGTTTCATCCGTTTACCATAGTTGAAGAACGAGCTTTTAAAAAGTTTGCAGGGTGGATTCCTGGATATAAACCGCCAATAAGAAAAACTTGTTCATTACGTCAGGTTCATTATTCCAGGAATGTTATATCTAAACTAAGCAAATTATTAAATCACAAGTTGTTAAAGAAGAAAATAACTGTATTACTACTGACCTTTGGACATCTGGAGTAACTGAGAGTTACATTGAATTAACATGACAATATTTAACCAAAAATTTAGAATTTAAAACGGTTTAATTAGGCTGCTGATATTTTTCTGGAAACCATAATTCAGAAAACATCGCTTTTGAAATTAGTGAAATTATTAATCAGTGGGGTCTAAGACGAAAAGTAAATTTTGCATTAACTGATAATGCCTCAAATATGGTCAAAACTATATAGAATAGACTATCTATTTGGTCAAACTTTAAAGTTTTGTTTTTTGATAATTTTGATAAATGTATATTTAAATCTTCACGTTAACTAATCAATTTAAAATATTTAAATTTAAAATTCTACAGTAGCTAAAATTAATAATTAATAACCTCCAGACGTCATTTTAGACATTTTCAATTTTTAATTAATAATTTAAATACAGAGGTCGCTCTAGGATTTATTTCCGTATATCCGAGCTTCCTATTTCATTTTCATTTTACTTCAAAAATGTAAGTCAAAGACAGCTGTTGTCGTTACTGTATGTGGTAACCATGTTTTTATAAAAACTTTTTAAATGTGAATTATACATATGTATAAGGGTTAGACCCAAGATCTGTGGCCTACAGAGCCCGATCTTTGAATTTTAATATGTCGTTTGTGCACAATTGTCTTTCTATGAAGTATTTATTGCCTAATTGACGTAAGTTTTTTCTATCATTGTATTTTATATAAAAAAATTTACTTAACTTAACGTTATTTTAGGATAGCTCTGATGATGACATTTATTATGTCGAAAGTATACTTAGCTTAAATATTAAATTATTTTACACACTATCAATTTTATTGAAAACATACAAAACCAGCTTACCAGTTAGACCTATTTAGAAGTGTGTACAAGTCTTACAGTCTTTTTCAATTTATTATTATTTTTAATGGGAATAAGGCACAATATGACTTTAAAATAAGCTTATTTTGATGTTTAGATTTTTAATTCGGAAATCGTACTTAAAATACGAGACATAATAAATTTTATTTAAATAAAACAATTTCCGAAGTGGAAATCAAAATGCTATATTACACTTATTGTAAGGTAAAATTGTGGCATATTTCCAATAAAAAACAGTAAGCTGCCATTTAATGCTAAAATTATAATAGGTCACATAAAACCAATAAGTTTGGCAACGTTGAATTTCCCCTTTTTTATTATTTCAACTCATTCATTTTCGGCGATATAAAGGGCTGACCTAATACACCTCTCTCTTTTTAAAGAGATGTTTCTCACTCTATCTCACGTAAGGTCCATACCGACCATAAACTTTTACCTATACTGTAGAATTCTTTTGTAGAGTTTTTTTTTTTAATTTGGAGTACATTGACCATACAAAAATACCATATATGACCATTGTAACGATAAGACTACCAAAGAGAATTGAAATGCTATTATAAAAATAATACCTTAATCAACCATGGGATCTTATCGTCTATGCTTCGCCTAGCTTAGTCTCTTAAGCGTGAATTCATTTTATCTTAAACTATGAATTCATGAACTCGTATCTGATAGCAAATAAAACAATTACTTAACTTATCATATATATACATCGGTTTAGAACATCTTTCGACGTTGTCCGATACCTAAACATCATCTCTTCCGATCTCCGCAGTCGTTTGTTGTTAAATTTCTTTCGCTCATGGACTTGTTTACGCCGTGTTGCCCTTCTAATCTGGGTCTTCCTCTTTTCCGTCGACCTATCTGTTGCCATTCTAATACTTTTTTGGGGAGTCTTGTTGCTGGTATCCGTTAACCATGCCCATACCACCTTAATTGTTTCTTCTCTATATCTTGAGTTATATTTCCTTCTATTCCCATACGTTGTTTTATTACATCATTTCGGATTGGGTAGTCTGGAAATACCTAAAGATCTTCTCGTTGCATCCATCTCTACTGCTTCTATTCGCTTTTTGTTCTTTTCACTAATTATCCATGTTTCAGCGCCATAAAGAAGAGTAGTTTTAATCATGGTCTCATATATAATAAATTTTCTTCCTTTTGTTATCTCTTTACTCCACAGTATACCATTGAGACATCCTAAGACTTTCTTTGCTTGTGTGATTTGTTTTTCTATTTCCCGTGTATCAGTTCCTGTATTGTCAAAGGCAACACCCAAGTAGTCATAGCTCTGACAGCAGGAAATATGTTGTCCGTTAATCTTAACTAACACTTAACTAATCATATTTATAACAAATAAATAATCAACACTGCCAATACTTTACGATACTACTTTACTAATAAATTTGGACGATACTTATGGCATCGATGGGTTGCTTGCTACTAAATATTTGTGGCCTCCCAATTAGGTAGTTAGGTTCTCCTGATAGCTGCAGTTATTACAAATTATATTTCGTGGTTCCAATTGGCCCCAATTAGGTGGTTAGGTCCTCCTGACAACTACAGTTATTTCATAAATTCTCCAATAAAGTGTTTCAATACAGCCAATATACCCAAGACAATTCTGCAGATGATAAAATGCACATTATAATAATTTTTACCTTCTTTTATAAATCTCAGAAACAGACAAAAAACATATACCACTACGTTTGAAAGCTGATTGACAGAAGGTAAGTGGGAGACTGCAATGAAGTTTAGCATAGATGCCATAGGACGTATGCCTATGATGGAATTAGCTCTTTTGCCAACATAGAACAGAATATTTAGTATACAGGACAGAGACAAAGAGAAAATAAATATTTATCCAACGGGTCAGAAAGATAAAGCGCCAACTACTTTTTTAAAGAAAAAATAGTAAAAACGAAACTAAAGGTAAATGAGTTAATAAATTAATAAAGAAATTAAAATAAAATATTATTTAATTTAATTTAATAAAGATGTGACGTTTATAACGTTACACCATATATGTATATTACACCATAAACCCTTTAACGTTGTAGTTTCTTTTAACCCTATTTTTTGAAAATAATAGTTTTTATCTTTTGGGGGAAAGGTAAATATAAAATTTCATCTGGTCTAGTGTAGTGGAAGGCCAACGCTACAACCAAAAAAACTGGAAAATTTGGATTATGAGAAAACAAGATAAAAACCTTGTCTCAGGCCATTGTTCTTGAATTGTTATTATTTTTGACATAATCAAATATAAATATTCGCTTAATTTTAGTAAATTGTTTATCAAACATCATCTATTGTAGTTAAAATTTTAGGATTGGACACTCTCTATACGATTTACACAACTCTCAGATGCTGGGATTTACGAATGTGAAATATGTATTTTTGAAAAATGTTCTACGTCTCTTGTCCACCTCAAACTTCAAGGTAAGACATTCTATGTGAGCCTTTTTGTACAATTAGTTTATATTATTTTATAAAATATCTGACGAAAAATTGTATAATACTCTATTATTTATCCGGTTTTTACAACAGCAACAATTTTGCCGACTAAGTATATTATACGAGCTCTGAGCTTATTGTCATACGGATGCTATTTGAATAATTATTTACTATCGTATGTTAAGAAAGTTTAGAGACAAATCTTATGAATGCAAAATTGATATTTCAATGCAATAATTGTTGTAAAATCTAATTAACGTAATAAACCAAAATTTCCCTTAATTTCAAATTTACGAGTACGTTGACAATTGCCAATCATCAGATAGTTTCACTTTTAATGGTTTATAAGTTAAGAAATTTGTAAGGGTATTCATAATCTTTTAAAGTTTAATAAACATTTATACACCAGATATAATCAGTTCTTAAACTAATGGACAACTAATCAATAGCAATAATGTCAAAGATATTCAACAACATATACAAATCTGGAGAAATACCAACTAGATGACTAATATCTAAGTTTACTGCATTTCCAAAAACCCAGCAGCCAAAAAATGCGAAGATTGCCGTACTGTAAGCCTCATTAGTCATCTCCTAAAATTTTTCCTACAGATAATTCATAAGAGAATCTACAAGCTGTTTGAAAGTCAAACTTCCCCCAACAGGTTCGGATTCACAAATGCTGTTGGTACTAGAGAGGCTTTGTTCTCAGTACAAGTCTTATTCTAGAGATGCAGAGACGTCAACTGCGATGTATACGCATGTCTGGTTGATTACGAGAAAGCGTTTGATCGAGTACAGCACGCCAAGATGATGCAAATACTAAAAAAATCTGGAACTAACAACCAAGATCTGAAAATAATTAGAAATCTTTACTGGAATCGGACAGCAAATCTCAGAGTTGAAGGTGAATACACTGACTATGTGCAAATCATGCGTGGAGTGAGGCAAGGCAGTATTTTGTCTCCTCTAATTTTCAATCTGTACTCTAAAAGAATATTTATCGACGTTTTGCACGAAACTGAAAAATGTATTCTACTAAATGGTTACCGGCTAAACAACATCAGGTATGCAGATAACGCCAAAGTATTTGCGGACAATTTAGAAGATCTACAAGTTCTTATGAACAAAATTACGTATTACAGTCAACAATATGGACTCAATATAAACTTTAAGAAGACAAAGCTTATGATAATTAGCAAGAAAATGATATCAAAAGGTCAACTCTACGTCAACCAATCCCCTGTAGAAAGAGTGACGCACTACAACTACCTCGGCACCATTATAAATGAAGAATGGACCAACAACCAGGAGATTATAGTACGCATTGGAAAAGCTAGATCCACCTTCAATCGGATGGGGACCTTCTTCAAGAGTGACGACCTCTCTCTTGATACAAAAGTAAAAATTATGCGATGCTACGTCTTCTCTGTCCTTTTTTATGGTGTTTAAAGGTGGACCTTAAACGAAAATATGTGCAAAAAACTGGAAGCATTTGAGATGTGACCATATCGGAGAATACTTAAGACCCCGTGGACTGACCGAGTCACAAATGATGAGGTCCTCAGAAGAATAATTAAGAAACGAGAGGTACTGACCACCATCAAATCTCGCAAATTACAATTCTTCGGACATATTATGCGAAATGAATCGAGATGCGCTCTCCTTCAATCCATCCTGTAATAAAAAATATTTGAAAGTCGAGGTCCAGCAAGAAGAAGAATATCTTAGTTAAAGAACCTCTGAATCTGGTTCACTACAATATCTGTGCAGTTTGTCTGCGTTGTTGTAGAAAAGATAAAGATTCCTATGATGATCGCCAACATTCGTAACGGATAGACACATCAAGAATCAGTCAACAAAGATGACATAAAAGTAATAATCCAAGACATAAATACCAAGATTGAAAAAGATCCTACTACATGAGAACAATAGGTAAGCATAGCTTCTACTATACAACTAATTAAAATGGAAGCCTACCAGTAGAATTCGCTGCTAGCAAAATAAGGATCACAAGCTCAACGTTATTTTCTAAACTATAAGGCAACATGACTCTCACCAAATAGTAAACAAACAACCGTATAATTCATATGTTAATATACTGAAGACTAGGAAAAAATGTAATACATGTGAGAGCTTTTTTTTTTTTTTTCGTCTTTATAGAGGGGGGTCTGGAATCTTCAAAAGACATCTCAGTCCAGGACGCCGCCTGACTAACCTTAGTGCAGGATTCGTTCTTCGTACTCCCGGCGATAGTTCCCGAGGTACTTTAAAATGCCCTCTCGTCGCCGAGTCTAAGCCGAACGCCTACCTGCTAAACCAGACCCTCCTCTGTCATCCAGCGATCTATTCTAACTCAAAAAGTGTGACCCACTGTTCTAACTTCACCTTTCAGCATCATTCACTCTACCTTTGCCGTTGGTCCAACTGTCTTTCTTCCTCTTCCTTTTTCTTGATCACTGCACGAATATAACTGTGTATGTTAATCCAACTTAATTTATTTTCAATCATTCTCTCAATCATTTCTCTCACTGTAACAAAATTCACACCTGTCTCTCTCTCTCCATTCTGTTCCTTTCCACTATCCATCTGCTGCAATCTAACATCGTATGTGTCACAGTGTCCGAGTATCCACAATATAGGCATTCGTCTGTATCAGCCTTTCCGATCCTATAAAGGTAGGCCCTAAAACACCCGTGTCCTGTGAGCACCTGCGTCAGGAAATAATCCAGTCGCCTGTGACCACAGTCCACCCAAGTTCTTATGTTCGGGATCAGCATTTTCGTCCACTGTGCCATATCCTCCGTATTGTTCCATTCTTCTTGCCATCTTACAACTGACATTTCCCTTACCTGTCTTCTCTCAGCCATAGTAAGGTTTGGGCCTCTTCTCTCATAAAGCTCTTTTCTTTCCACCGCCAAAATATGCAACGGAATACATCCAGTGATGGTCCATAAGGCTGCCGCAGACACAGTCCTATAGGCGCATGCCACTCGCAACAGATTTGTTCTGTCTACTCGTTTCATAAGACTCCTATAGGCTGTTATCTCTACCGCCTCGCTCCAGACTGGTGCCGCGTAGAGGACGATAGACTGTACAACACCGTGTAAGACCCTCCTCCTTTCGGATTTGGGTCCTCCAATGTTCGGCATCACTCTCTCCAATGCAGCCGCACTATTCGCAGCCTTTCGGACCACCTCCCGAACGTGCTCCCCCCATTTTCCATTCTGGTGTAATGTCACTCCTAGGTACTTCACTTGTTTCTTGGGTGTTAGACATACTCCCGCACATCTTAATTCAACACCTTGCCTGTTCCTTGTCCCCTTCAGAATGATGGCTTCAGTTTTTTCTGTCGCAAGTTTTAGTCCGTGCTGCGTCATCCATTTCTTTACGACGCCACCTGCGTTCCGAACCCGGTATTTGAGATCTGGCTCATCCCGGGCTACTACCAGTACAGCGAGGTCATCCGCGAATGCGAAGGGGGTTATACCCTCCCCGTATTCACAGTGCATAACCCCGTCATATGCCAGATATATACATACATGTGAGAGCTAAGAAGTGAGCTGTACACGGTTCGGATCACGTTCTAAGGTCACAGAAGTTAAAAAGCGGTTACGAGAAAAATTAAACACAAAACTCCTAGAATGGAGGAAGGAAACAAAATAAAAAGAATGGAATAAAAATAAGACATAAATAGATCACTTGCAGAGCACTAAGGGCTAAAACAAAAGGATGGCTTGGATACGACTATGTTTAATATGCAGCTGAGTTCGTGATTCTTTATCCGTGCGTCATCATTTAAAGGATACGAGATAAGTCGGAGTATTTACTCCACGCAATAGAAAGTGAGAGAAAGTGGCTACTGCTACGATTTCGGATTACATTATAAAATTTGACGTTATCCAATAAATAGAATGAAAATATTAGTTTTGCTTTAAAATTTTGGTGCAGAATTACAGCTACACTGGAAGTAGCTTAATAAATTCTTTTTATATCATTAGTGACTAATAAATAAATAGAATATTTGTAAAAAATATAATTAAATCATCATCATAAGTTGCTCAACAATCCGTTGTGAATCTTAACCTGTTTCCGAAGAAGACGCCACTCCTGTCGATTACTGGCAACTTCCCTCCATTTTCTGACCCTTAGAATATGTAGGTCTTCTTCCACATCATCAATCCATCTCCTTCGTCTTCGTCTTTCACTTCTTATGCCCTTTGATTTTAAACATGTTCATCTCTTCGTGTATTCTGATCTGACATCCTAGCAATTTGTTCAGACCATCTAAGTCTCGGCACTTTAACGAATTTTACAATATCTGGATCGGTGTATAACTGATATAGTTTAAAGTTGTATCTTCGACGCTATAACCCATTTAATATAATTAAATACACAATAATATATGTGTAGTAGCTGATGTAGTAGTTAATAGTAAAATTATTTAAAGAATGAGACATTATTTAGCTCAAATAAAATTGTTGCAAGATTTTAAACGTATGTTTTTCGTTTCACATATTTAATTTTTATTACCTTCAGAATCTGAGCTATTATCTCAAATATCAATTATTACAGGTTCGAAATTATTATTGCACATATTTTCTTCCCTAATAAACCACTGTTCAATTAATTTGTTAGTATGTTCTACACATATTGTAATCTATTAATTGTTACGTTTTAATGTAGTTAAAAATAGTTATAAAAATAGTTATAAAAATAGTTATAAATAGCATTAAAAAAATTATTGAGAAATTAGGTGTTGCCGGACTTCTGTTTTATGTATTTACTACCTTCAAGACTACATAAAATCATAAGTGTTACATAATTACCCGTGTGGGATGCGGGTCGCTAAAAAGAATACACCCACATTATCTCCTACTGGTCGTAAGAGGCGAACGTAGGAGCAGCTGACCGCTGTCCTTACCCAACATTCCATCTCGTCCCATACCCATTTAGTTACCAAGAACCTATCTCAGCCACACCCC